CTGTTTTCCAGAAAGGGCAAAACCTTATGTGGACATGGCTTAGTCCACATAACGTTAACACAACCTGCATTATGTGGACATCTCTTGTTCACAAGTCCACATAGGGAATGTAAGACAAACTCACACCCACACACACACACTGACACACCCATTCTGGAATTTGTATTCCTGTGGAGACATTTCTTTGTTCTCGTGTAGTAAAGTTTTCGAGTTTGAAATTGAAGTTTCAAAATGCTCTTATTTTAACCAGAATTAATTTCCTGGGCTGAAATTTGGACTAAATATCCCTTTTCTAAAACTCTTCTATTTGCGACAAATCAACCTACCTTGGAAATTCCTAGTTTTTGAGTAAAATCCATATATCTATTTCGTGAAATTCTTGTGGAGACGTATTCATCTATAGAAATGTTCTTCTGGAGACGTATACAATCTTTTGTTCCCTATTGTGTGCATGTCTCCGTAAGGTAGTAAATTCCAGCACACACCCACATCCACCCACACAAGCCCATTGTGCTATCTTTGCAAGAGTGTGTGAACTTTTGAGAGGTGTGTCGTTTCTATGGTAACCGATATCGTCGTCCGAGCAAAATAACATCGCTCGTTGATCAACAAAATATTGATTTTTGTTTTACAAGATTAAAGAGCTGTGCGTATAAAATGGCTTGGTAGATTAAATCCGACACAGAATCCACCAAAGCCTGCTATCCGATTATTCTTGTCCACAGCGATATCGGTGAGATAACTCTTTGAATCAACGTCTTCCTCATTCTGTGAAGGTGCAAACTGGCGAATGAAGGTCGATTGGAATCAAACACCTTAACAAGCTCCTCATCAGTGACCAGAAGTAGGTCATCGGAGGTCGCAGCTACTCCCCATGGGTAATTCAACTTCTCCCCACCAACACTTGTTTTATACTTCCCTGTGAAAGTAAAACTCATCAACTGCTTCTTATCACTGTCAATTACGGCAATGTCGCCATTGCTCAGACAGGCGACGCCTGTAGCATACTCAAATTCTTCCAATCCCACACCAAAAATCTCTTCCCTGAACTCCCATTCTTCTTCCTGAAGTACTTCACCGAGGTCTGTAGCTGTGTGGACGTCGTGACATTTCACCCCGATGAACGAGAGCTCATGCTGTGCATGCTCCAATTTGAACTCATCTTCCTCTCTCGTTCTGCTCCGATTTGTGTTACTTTGTCTCTGAGCAGGCGAGATTTGTTTTTGATCTTTGCAATTTCCTCTTCCTCTTTGGCGGTGTGTCTTTATAAGGCCGGGCGACCATGATTCTGACCCGGTTTCTGGCATGCGTCAGCGAATCGTCGGTGACTTTGAAAACCACTTTGTTCTGTTCGAACCTTTGCAGAATCTGTTCGACATCCAGACGGTACGATCGTATGGCATCTGCAACTTCTCTGTATTCATGTTCCGCTCCTCGAGGATCTAACGCAGCACACTTTGCACACGATAGGGTCTTGCATGTCTCGCAGTAAAAACAGAGTTCGTGGTTAGTGTGCTTGTTACATTGCGGAGTATCTTTCTTCCGAGGATCGATCGGGGCAACATCGAATCTGTTTTGTTCTTGTCCAATGATCCGATGGTGTCTCATGGATTTCATGCGCTCGTGGGGTTCTTGTCATTTTGTGCAGATGATTTTACAGTAGTCTAAGCATCTTGAGACGGCTTGTAAGCCCTCATCGCATTCCTCACATTGCCAAGTAACCGCTCCTGTTTGCTGAATTCATCGACTCAGGAACTCAGGAAAAAGCAGTTGGAAAGACCCTGCATTCCTGTGTCTGGTACCGCAGTTCCCCGTCTGCAAACCGGGCAAGTAGTGTTGTCTGCCTAGACAGTTCAGCAGAAGCTGTGCAGACAGTCCAGCATCTTGGGATCGGTGAAAGGACAGCAACAAATCGGGCATTCGAGGTGTCCCCGACTGATCGTACCTAGCAGGGATTTGTATGCAGCTTCCGACATCTTTCTACAATAAAAGAATGAAATAACATTCCGGTACCATACCTGGATAACTAATACATGTAGTAACAATTTCTGATGCACGTTCTTGATTAAATCGTGATTGAGAATCTGAGAAAATAATGTCTTTGAGTAAGTTACAAACATATTTCTGAGTTGTATTGATGTTATATTTAATTCGGGGAAGAAATGAGGCATATCTTAACTGGTCACGCTCGGGGGGGGGGGGGGGAGGAGCGGTGGAGGATACACTGTTGCTTTTTTAATATTTTTTGTCGTTATTAATTCAGCAGTCATCGGAACACCTACTAACACACAACGTGTGTCAACGTACGCGTTGGCCTGAATAGAAAGCAAGTGTTTGAGCAGCATTCCGTATACCCCACCACCTCTTTTTGTATTTAAACACAAGTTCATGGTCAACGAAGCATAATATCATGGTCTATAAAATGAGAGAACAATAGGTCTTTGGATTTATTTCGCTCAGTTGCTATCTGCAGCAGCACACCCTGTAGTCTATGTAATAGACCACGGCGAATGCCGTGGTCTATTATGCGCGAACAGATTTGCTGATTAATTAGGCAAGACCCCGCAAGACCAATCAGCAGGCGATTTCTATAGGTCTATCGGGTCTTCGGTCATTCACCCGTTGCGCGTCATAGACATGGATTTAAAAAAAATGTCACGGCGCGCTGCGCTCGGTATCATGTTAAGCCCGATTCATACTCGGCGCGAAAGCGAAAGCGAACGCGAATTGACGACGTCGTGGCAAGTATTCGCGCTGCGAATTCGTAAAAGTTGAACATATTTCAACTCGGGCGAATTTCGCAGCGAATGCTTCGTGACGTGAAATTCGCTTCGCATTCGCATTCGCGTGAAGTATGAACCGGGCTTTACGCGAATGCGCTCCCGGCTGTTGTTGTATTACAAAACGCTCCATTCGAATTGACCAATCATGGCGCGCAGTGTTCGGTATCATGTTACGCGAATGCGCTCCCGGCTGTTGTTGTATTACAAAACGCTCCATTCGAATTGACCAATCATGGCGCGCAGTGTTCGGTATCATGTTACGCGAATGCGCTCCCGGCTGTTGTTGTATTACAAAACGCTGCATACGAATTGACCAATCACAGCGTTAGTCCTGATTTTGGGATGAAATGACGTCACGATTTATTAAAGTCGTCTCCGATTGGCTGGCGCGCGGCTTGCATAAATCTGCATGCTTTGACATATCAGAAGTTAGACAGGAGATGGCTCCGTGGATAACGGGTGATACTCAGACTACACACCCTGTTGCAGCCCAACAAAAATACAGGCTGAATAGTACAGTCCTGCATTCGGTTTCATTTACTTTATGAACCACCCACACCCTCAAAAATTTAAATTCCACATTTCCGTATAATCTTAACTGTCATACCTACCTTTTATGAACTTGAGTAACCACCAGATCCAGTTGAAAATCCGATCAAAGGTTTTACTCGCGGTCAAATTTGAACCAAAGGGTTAGACTTGACTTGAAGAGAGATGTCGCTGTGCAATACACTATTCCTATTTAACATTGTTGGGAAAATGAACAGCTATTTTCGTGGTACAGTGCAAATTGAGAGGTCCAAATTCGAAGCAGTCATCCCGTGCACTCGTGCCTAGTAATTGAATTGCCTTTGCTACCTCGCAACGCCTGGTGTAATAAGACTAGCATGATATCAATCTGCTAATACAAAGAAGCTTCTGTATTTTAATCAAATGCTTTTATGCTGTTTTATTCTTGAATGTTTTGGATTCATTTTGTTGGTTTCTTTGACCTTATAGACTCATCGTTTTAACAAATATTTCAGGATATGAATAAATACAACAGTTACAAATTCAATTTTTTGTGGTATAAAGTCTATTATCGGTAGGATGTATCACGGTGTGTGGGGGCGAAATCCCCCGATAACAACAAAGTCGTCACATTTCCTTGACATCAGAACCACTTGAACGCTTGTTGACATGATTTCTAGTTGAACTTCTCTTGCTTGGGCACTTGTTAAAATACATACGTCACTTTGAACTACACGCAAAGCTGAACAGCAATGACTTAATCAGTTAAACTGGCTGGGCTCTTGTAATAGAAGTGAACGATGCCACTTTTCTTGCCTCATTTTTATATTGCGCCCTCTCGCGATTATGATCTCCTCCTACGCATCATTTATAGTCCTACAGTTTTATTATACATTGTTATTCATTTGTGCCAAAACCGTGAAATTCGTCTATTCTAATTGTAATAAAGTCAGTAGCTATAAAGTGCCATAATGAGTCGTTATCCTTAAACGACTCTACTTTAAAAGTATGAAATACATTACAACCACAAATTAATCTTCCCGCTAGTGGTGACTTTGCTAAAGTAATCGTTAAATTTACATTGAAAAACTGAAAAATGTTCGTTGAAAATGTCAAAGAACTTGAGTGAAAATGAAAAATCGATCCCCCTAAAAAAAGTTTATAAAAAAAACACAATAATAAAAAAAAAAATCAAAAAAGTATAACAGGAAACACTATTAAACCTTGAAAATGATATTTTCGTTTAATACAAATGGTTTTGCTTCTTGTTTGGTGTCTTTGGAGGAATCCTGGCACGTGATCGAAGTGTATTGACACGGGGCCCGTTTTCAATGGCGACACATTGTGCAAGCTAATGGGCAAAGATTACCGCCCATGACAAGTTATCTAAAAGGCTATAGCAAGCACATTGCTTTAGCCATTTCAGAGGGCCTCCGAGATGGAATTGACAGCGTGCCCAGATTGGCCAATTAAGTTTAGTTCTGCATCGTCATTAGTTTGAAAAAACCCAGCGATGATCCCATTGTGCGTCTCGATGTCATAATTTTCTCGATGTCTTAATTTTCTCACGTTAAGAGGTGCAAATGAGGCTCAATCTTTGCAAATTGTCAGCGTTAATGGCAATGTGCCCAAATGCGTAAATCCGATGGTAGCTTATCGTACTTATAGTTTTCACAGATGTTAATAAATCACACGAGATATTCTAGCTCACACCCGCTGGAAGATCTTGACCGAGACCTCATCTGCCACCACGAGGTCTCCGCTTGGCGCGAATGTCAGGCCGCAGGGAGAGTGAAGTCCGCGAGCCACCCGCCCGAGGAAAACACCGTCAGGTGAATAATGGTGCACTCCACCACTCTCATCTGATTCGTAATAAACACTCATGTAGATGTCACCGGCATCATCGCAGCACACGCTGACGGGCGTCACAGCTTGCCCGTCAAGCGAAGTATGGATATTGAACACCTCATCCTCCGTACGGGTGGTGCAAATCAACTTACTCTCCACGAAGTTTGTGAAGATCAAGCGTTCGTTTATGCCAACGGCCAAACCGGCACGAGCCAAGTCATTTGGAACAGTTGTAATCAAGGATCCATCCAGCTGATGGAGAGAGACCAGCTGTCTTCCGCGGTCTGTGACTGCTATCCGATTCTTCACAACAGCGATAACTGTAAGACGACTCTCTGAGGTATCTCCTGTATCATGGTGTGATGGTGCAAACTGGCGAAGGAATTCTAAATTGGAGTTGAACACCTTTACATACTTCTCATCGGTGACCAAAAGTTGGTCATCACATGTCACAGCTATTCCTATGGGCTTATTCAATTTCTCCCGACCAACACGTGTTTTGTACTTCCCAGTTGAAGTAAAAAGCGTGCACTCCTTTTTATCAATATCTGTTACGGCAATGTCACCGTTGCTTAGACAAGCAACGCCCGCTGCAAACTGAAATTGTCCATCTTCAGGACCTTCCTCACCAAACTCTGCTTGCAACTGCCACTTTTCTTCCTGAATCACTTCTCCGAGGTCTGTATCTGCCACGACATCTTGACATTTGACGCCAATGAATGAGAGCTCATGCTGTGCATGCTCCAGTTTGACTTCCTCCTGGAACTCTAAGTTGTGCATCACCTTCGGTTTGAGGTCCAAAAGCTCAAGGTCTTCAGCTTGCTGCATCAAGTCGTTGACTGTTGCTACGATTTGCTCAGCCCGTTCCATCTTGTAACGGTTGCTTTTCCGGACTTCCTCAAACTTCCTATCTCGTTCTTGTCCGATTTGTACTACTTTGTCTCTAAGAAGTCGGGATTTGTTTTTGATCTTTGCAATCTCTTCTTCCTCTTTGTCGGTAATGTCCTTACAAGCCCGGGCGACCATGATTCTCAACCTGTCCCTGGCATGTAGCAATGAATCGTCGGCGACTTTGAAGTCCTCTCTGCTGTTTTCGAACCTTTGTAGGATCTTTCCGACATCCTGGCGGTACGATCTTATAGCATCTGCAACCTCTCTATAATCATGTTCCGCTGTACGATGATCTAACGCAGCACATTTTGCACAGACCAAGGTTTTGCATGTCTCGCAGTAAAAACACAGTTCATGTGTAGTGTGCTTGTTGCATTTCAGGGTATCCTTCTTCCCAAGATCCAACCGAGGTACGAATACCTCTGCTCCGCTTTGGTTCAAGTTGACGATCCGATGTTTCTTAGTAGATTTCATCTTCCGATGGGTATCAAGACATTTCTGGCAGATGTTCCCGTCACAATCTAAGCACCTTGAAATGGCTTCCAAGCCTTCCTCGCATTCCTCACACGTTTGAGCATTCGCTGGCGCGTCTCCCAGCAACTGCTCCTGCTTGTTGAATTCATCGACGAGGGAACTCAGGAAAAAGCAGTTGGGTAGACCCTGCAATCCGGTGTCTGGTACCGCAGTTCCCTGCCTGCAAACTGGGCAGGTAATCTCGTCTGCCCTGGGTTGCTGACTGCTGATGAGCTTGTCTAGACAGTTCAGGCAGAAGCTGTGCAGGCAGTCCAACATCTTGGGATGAGCGAAACGACAGGAACAAATCGGGCATTCGAGGTGTCCCCGACTGATCATACCCAGCACAGATTTGGCTGCAGCTTCCGCCATCTTGCCTCACCTGTGCAAAGGAATTTTGATAATATTCAATAGTAAATTGAATTGAGAATGTGCGATCAGTGTTATTAAGATCCGGATGAGGTTTTTTTATATATTGAGTGTCCACCAGGAATTTTTTTCAGTTTTGACAATGTTTTCTTCAAGGAAAAAAAACCGCGAACGGAAGAACACTTGTATCGATCATTGAACCCTGTGATTATTATTAACAGGTATTCGGGTTGTAATAATTGCATGACAACTTCTCAGATTTTCGGTTATTACTCAACCTATGTGCATCCGAATTTTTGCGATTAATTGCCAAAATGTGCTACGAGAAAGTCGTTTTTGTTAACTGTGACTGAACTGCGTGAATATCTCAATATGCACCCGGAAACGCTCATTCACTCTCACAGCATCGCCAATGTTACAGGAATGAGTAAGAGTACCTGCCTTGCATGCTAATCACGTACAGTTTACAAAGACCATGTAAGTTTGCTGTATTTCAGTTTCCGTTTCGTGAATCACTAAACGTACTTCATATACAATAGGTTCAACCACTTCGAATGCTGTATACAATCGTATGCAAACAATGCACATTTAATTGGTGTAAACTTCGAGTTTAGCTTAGACTATGCACTGAACGATTGGTATTTCTCATAGCCAGAAAAATAAAACTGCCAAAGTTGACAGGTTGAAGGTCGCAAAAACCTCCTCGTTTCCAGCGTTTCGTCTGAATATAATTTCCCCTCTCTACTCAACGCATGAACTCCCTGTGGATAATGGCTGCATTGTGTCATCGCTACAATGTGTAGAAGTAGTAATACTTCTACACAAGTTTTTTTCTGTTTTCTGTTTTGTGATTTCCATAGGTTCGACCACTTTGCATGCTGTAGTAAATCGTACTCAAAAATATACATTGCGCAATCAGTTCGTGTACACTACAGTATAATCTCAGAATAATGCACTAAGAATTATGCACTAAACGCTGGGTATTTCTCATACCTTCGAAAAAAACCTTGTATTTTTGACGCACAGCCAAGTTGACAAGTTGAGGTTCACGAAGGCGTTCTCGTTCTCCTCGTTGCGTTTGAATAGAAATCTTTGTATCTCGACCCACGCATGAACCCACTCTGGATAAATGGATGCATTGTGCCACAACGACACTTGCTGAAAACACACACACCATCGATGTCCATGAAAGCCTGATGCTGCAATCATTTGTGCACAACACCTCCAATAGTCCTTTTCCATTTTAATTATAGGCCTAATTATTCCGCGATATATTCAATATCGATCCCTATACACATAACCTGCTGGAAATGGAAGTTGAGCGGTTTACTGCTAACTTGGGAAAGTACACTTCGGAAGTAAACTTTGTAAACTTCTGCGTGGAATGTGCGTGCATTAATCGTATTAAAGGGAATATACAACATTTGCAAACATCGAAAAATAACACTACCCGGTTTTTACGAAATACCTAAGTAGGATGTTGGTAATGGACAGTCTAAAGCATCCTGTAAAATTATGGAACCTGGTGTGAAGTGATTTTCAAGAGAATGGTATTTTTGTAAAAATTGCCAGCGGTGGTCGGCCGACCACCGTTGGAAAAACCTAACAATTGTTCAACTACTGCTCCAAATTTACCATTAATTCAGTCCAAATTTTGTTTGCTATTGGTTACATGTTCATGAACGGGTGCAGGCCAGCTAGACTGGTACCCTTACCTTACAATTTTCCAGCATCTGTAAATTGATCCATTTTATATTTAGTGGAGTCAGGAAACCAGACTACTTGAACAGTTTTGTTTTTCTTGGTTTTTCCAGCATTTTCGAACACAAAACTTCAAACATGTCAGTGTAACAATATTTGATGTATTATACTAACCCCTCAAATAGTTCATTTCTGAAAATTACAGCAAAAGCCAATGATGTACATTCCCTTTAAATCCCCCGAAGTGCTTTGCGAAGTGTGCACTGCAGGGGCACTATTATGTTCAAACCCCCTCCTGTGTGTAAGCTTATGCGCCTCCCTGGAGGGAGAGGTTTAGGATGGAACGCCTCCCAGACCCAAGGCTATGCCACTTAATTCATATTGTAATGTAGGCAGTTGTTAGTACATTTCTCAGCACATTTGGATTGTTTATAATGTCAATTATGCACGAGAGCTTGATATGCACTGTACTTACGAGCACAACTACTTTGATCCCATGATACGAATCTTTTTATTCCTTATAGAGTGATCAGCCTGGACGGATGCCGAACCGTGCCGCCTGTAGTGCGGTTCCAATCGTTCCAGGGTCTGCCGGGGAAATCGCACCGATTGCCCCGGTGCTGGCTGCCAAACAGCCCGGTGCGGAAGTGTTTATTGCGAAGGTTCGAATCAGAAAATGAGTTCGCCTATATTCACTGTTTGATCCCATACTTTCTTTTTTCCTTCATGTCAGCAGTATTGCTCGCTTGAATCGATTCGCACTGTATTCGATTCTTTAATCTTCTGATCCCTACCTAAAGTGAGAATCGAAAGTAATATGAACTCATGCGTAATAAATTATGCCTTTCACAGGAGTGTATAAATCAGGAAGATCGGAGAACAAAAGGAGAATCAGCAATGAATCAAGTGGCTCCCAAAATATATTAATATGCATATTCTCCCTCGTATACCCCTGGTAATTTTACGAAATCGATCAACATGACACTAATTTGTTTATACAGATTTAGGCAGTGGATGAAACCGCTGTTTTTGTCAAGTGTGGGTCAATACCAGGCGAATTACAAAATTTACAAACTTAAAATTGGCTGCAGCATATATCCAGGCCTCGAAAATCATATTACTAGTTTTATTTTATCTATACATTTGTTGGTGTTTTTAAAAGGAAGTTTATCTCGCACGAATCAAAGAGGAAGTGTGCTTGTGTTGCGGGTTTCATTTTGTATGTGTCAAAGGATGAACGCAACGGGACAGATTTCCTGTTAGCTTTAAATTATTGTTTTCGGTATCATAATTTTTGTGCAATCTGAAAGATACTGCACGATGTAAATACAAGTTCAGTTTTTCTTCTTTTGAATTCGGAAATTCAAAGGGTCCAACCCGTAATTAAAAATAAAAGTAAACTGATGTTCGCTCCTGAAAAGCACAAAAAGAAGAATTAGACTTGATTGAAGGGTTTTTTATTTTTGTTTTTTGTTCAAAACAATTTTTAGTAATCGTCTTCCTCCATATTACACGTTGGTAGGGGCAATCCATTAAATAACACGAACTTTTAATTAAAATCAGAATGAGGTTTAGAGCGAGGTTGCGCATAAGGACACACACACACACACACACACACACACCCACATACTTGTTTCACATGACTAGTGTGGACTTTCCATTGCTTTCGTGTAGTTAAGAAAAACCAGTGAAAAAACTCATTTTTCTCAAACTGTGAAAACTCTTTCAACCCAATTTTTTTTCTATGATTCCCTTTAGTGTTTCTCTTCATTCTGCTACAGATAAACCTAACCCAAAAATGCCTCTAAACCTGTTTTCCAGAAATGGGGAAACACTGTGTGGACGTGGGCAAGTCCACACAACGTCGGTGCTACCTACATTATGTGGACGTCTTTTGTTCGGAAGTCCACACTGCGTATGTAAGACAAGCTCACACACACATACTTGTTTCACATGACTAGTGTGGACTTTCCATTGCTTTCGTGTAGTTAAGAAAAACCAGTGAAAAAACTCATTTTTCTCAAACTGTGAAAACTCTTTCAACCCAATTTTTTTTCTATGATTCCCTTTAGTGTTTCTCTTCATTCTGCTACAGATAAACCTAACCCAAAAATGCCTCTAAACCTGTTTTCCAGAATTGGGGAAACACTGTGTGGACGTGGGGTAAGTCCACACAACGTCGGTGCTACCTACATTATGTGGACGTCTTTTGTTCGGAAGTCCACACTGCGTATGTAAGACAAACTCACACGAGCCCGTTGTGCTATCGTGGCAAGAGGGTGTGAACTTTTCAAAGGTGTGTCATTTCTATGGTAACCGATATCGTCGTCCGAGCAAAATAACATCGCTCGTCGATCAACGAAATATTGATTTTTCTCTTTACAAGGTTCAAGAGCTGTGCGTATAAAATGGCTCGGTAGATTAAATCCAACACAGGTTCCACCATAGTCGCATCAAGTGCACTCATCAGACAGTCTGAGTAATAGCGACTATAAGATATTGTTTCTATTATTAAGTCTGAATTTACACACGGCTCAATCTTGGACTTGCTGCAATCCTGCGCCTGCGACAACGCTATGGAGTCTGTGCTGTGTTCGGCATTGTTGATCGTGTCTTTAGCGTGCATGGCTATTATTGTACAGTGCTCGACTGACACTGTGACAGTCGGAATCACTGGAGCACCTGCGGTGACTACTGATTTCACTGAAGGTAAACTATTTTTGTTAAATTGAATTTTTGAAATAATTATGCTTTATTTTGTGGGACGATCGTTTTACTTGTAAACGGAGAGAAGGTTGCGGTGGCAATCTTCAATGTTTTGTTGTTGGGGGGGGGGGGGTGCAGTAGGTGTGCATACCCATGTTCCCCAATACCTATGTTCCACAACCTTAACCCTAACCCTACCATCTAACCCTATCCCTAACCCTAAGGATTTGGGGAACATAGGTATTGAGGACTATCGGGTAGACATCGGGTAGACATCGGGGTATTTAAAATAATCGGGAACATCGGGGTAATAAGGGGACCTTTTAAAGTTGTGGGGCACTCAATCCATTTTAACAATAGAAGGCCAACTTGTAAAGAAGTGATACAGATATAAATTGTTAATATTGGAAAGTTATAACTTATATCCAGGTAAATGCATATTGTTTTTTAACTAGATTCGGCCACGATCGATCATTTTCATCTGCGCAACCACACGCTCCGCACGCTGGAGCGGGTGCCGAGCTTGACCGTCTGCGGGGAGAAGTGCGCCAGCCTCGGCGGCTGCCGCTCGCTCAACTACCGCAGAGCAACCGGAC